TTTTCAGTTCCTCTTTTTTTTCCGCTGTTATTTTATTCGCATTTGCCGGGGCCGCTTTGTTGTTGTGTGTATTTTTTGGCTAAAACTGATTCTCAAGGTATTTGTGCATTCCGAGAAAATTTTATAGCCATAAATGCGCCAGATTTGCGTTTACTCGTGAGGATTACGGCCCCCCGCTACCCGTTTCCCATTCCCTGGAAGTTGAAACTTTCCGAATTCACATAAAATTAGCAAATATTACATTTGCGCCCGGGAAGAGCTCCCAAAAGGTTGCACATCCTTCGCAGCTTCTGGACTCGAGTTTATTTTGTATATTTTAAGCAAACTTTTTTATTGCCGTAAACAAAGTTTGCCACGCAACGGGGAGTTATTTAACGTATATAACTTAAAAAAGAGAAAAGAAAACTTTCGTCGAAGGAATAAGTCAGCCGAGTGGAAAGTGGAAAGACTCCTCTGGAGTTGCCCTCCCAAAACCTGCTCACATGCCCCACGCCGCTGATTGACTCTCCTTTTCGGGGGCGTGGCATCAATGTGTGTCCCAGACAATGCCCGTCGCCGATACGCACGCAGATAGGTTAATGTTAATGTGTGCGGCGAAAAGTTTTCAGTTTTCAGTTTTGTTGCCGGCAATTTACAGTTTATCGCTTATGTCATCTAAATGGGCGTCATGCGATTTGCTAGCCATTATCATTTACCGCAGACGATAGCAGATCGGGTCTCGGTAGGGGGTCTGAGAGTTGATAAGGTCGTTATGGATGGTCATGCGAGAAGGTGGGAGGGTCTATTAAAGCTGTATTGAGGCAAAAGAAAATGTTTATACGAAAAATATAAGATTTAATTATGGAGAGCAAGTATTTTCTGCTGGTCCAAGGGGAGCTTCTACTTAGTTCACACCCTGCAATCGAAGCGCAAGTAATCACTCATGAGCACGCAGATCGGATGCCTGATTTATAGCGACTTTAAGCAGAACATAATGCACTCAGACCTGGCATTATCTCGACATCATCGTTGTAATGTTGCCCCTCGCGCGAGTGGAAACCAAATTAATTGCGGCAGTTTGTAAGACACACGCACTGCAAGTCCCCCTGGAAATTCGCTCTAAAGGAGCAACTGTCGGTCTGCTTTTCCTTTGTGGGGTGTCAGCGGTGGATGCACCAGGAGATCCACATCCACATCCACATCCAGATCCAGAGTCTTTGTCTTGCACTTGCCAGGCATCCGTCAACACAGAGTTGTTATAGCTGCTGCTGTTGTTCGCCCGGCTCACGACTCCAGCGGACACAAAGTCCTTGACTTGCATTTTTGATAAACAACGTGTCAACTTTGTCGACATAAACCATAATCTTCAGTGTCAGTTTGACTTACAACTCGTGTACTTTTCACTGCAACAGCGCCCTGGTAATCATGTCTGGGTCGGGGTCGGGGTCTGGGTCTGATTCAGGGTCCGACTTCTCCTCCGGAAAGTAAAGAAAACTCTTAGAGAGAGAGAGAGGCATTAGTTTTTCGGAGCGCTTGCGGCCCTCCGATTAATAAGTGGCAGCAACTGCTCCTGGAGCAGAACCTACTCCCGGATCATTAGTGTAATTAAATGTGGATGAAAAATTTCAGTTCATTTAGCGTGCTCGTCCCTGGCTCATAACTCGAAAAAACCGAAACACAATTAATCAGGCGGCGGCGGAGGCATGTGGCACCTAGGAATTAGAATTAAAGTAAGTGTTGGTACAGGCGACCCTGCCACATGACGCATGTCTGCCACTGGCCTGGCTTCTGGTTTTTTACTTCTCCCCCCCTCTCTGGAAGATGGCAACGGAATGTTGTCAGCTTAATTTTTTAATAAAGCTAAATTTAGAGCAGCCAGCAGCGCGGCGGAAATCAACAAGTCCTGCCAGCAGCCATGTAATTTTGCTAAGTGCACGAAGTCAGCGAGGCGATACCTTCTCCGATTCTCCCCATTATCCATTATCCTCCTTTTTCTGGGGCCTCGGAGTAGTGCGAATTTATCGCCACTTGCAGGGAGCGTGACATTGAAATTGTAAATTATTCTAGGCACCGTGAGGAGGCCTTTTGGCAACGAGATTGTTTTTAGTATTTGGTAGTCAGCGAAAGGGAAAATAGTAATCATACTTGTGCTAATTATTCACTTGATAAATATATATTTTTTTTAATTAGGGAAACTGAGACTGAAACATTCAAAGCGGCCACTTTAATTTACCTAAAAGAAGTATAGTAAAATCTGAGTCGGTCTAGATCTGTATCCAGCTTAAAGTCGAAGCCAGCAACAGCTGCGGGGCATCGATTTAAATATATCTGCTAATCTAGGGTCCTGCGATAAAAATCGCTCCGTGTAATCCCAGTCGCTGGTCGATGAAACAAGAGTCGCCGGGCGGAACCTCTCTCTTCATGAATCTGAATCTGGGATCTGAATGCTTCGCTCCGAAGGACACGAGGCTAGCCAGGAGGCGGGGCGAGACAAGGCGAGGCGGGGCGAGTGCATTGTGCTCTGGAGTGCACTTAAAGGATTTTTTACGAGGCAGCGCTCCTGCGCGGCGAAGGAGCAGAAACGAGGCGGAATGAAAATCAACAAATGATGACAACTACCCCGGATGATTTGGACGTCCGCTGGAGTGTTTGTCCTTTCAAAATGTTTTTCTTTTCTAGCGACTTGAGTGCTCGGCGTATTCTCCTAATTTTATTTCTGCTCTCGCGTTGAGGGAAGCCGGGAATCCTGTTGACAAAAATCTCAAATGTGTGCTCGACCGTGCGCCGTCTGTCTGCCATAATAACCATTCATCCATCCATCTGTCCCACTGTCCTTCTGTCCATTCAACCATTTATCCAGGTCCCTGCTGCGATCCTGAGCGAGCAGGTAGTCCGTCATTGATTCCTATTCGCGCGTGTTTAATTCCCAAATCAGCGGTCCCAGATCTTGAGATCCTCGTTGTCATCCGTTTGTTTTGTTTTGTTTTTGGTTTTATTTTTTATTTACGGGGTTTGGGATTCGCAGCGCTTTGTTTGGAGTTTTTTTTTATATTTTTTTTGCGCTTTGTCTCGTTTGTGCGGCAGCCGCTGATCTTATCAACGTTTTGTTTCGTGAGGCATTAAAAATTTGTCATTTGTTCCCCATTGAGAGTCCCCGGGATCCGTATAAGCTCGATTGTGGCCCGACGACTTGTCATCGCATCTCCCTCCATTAGAGAGCCAACTGTTTTTATTTCTCATTGAGGAAGCAGCTGGGGATATCTCCGGCCATTTGGTAATTGCATCCTCGAGGAAGCAGCTACATAATTGTGCCGTGCAATTCAATTTGCAGATACACATAGCACGGTTGCTCTGAATTTATGCTGAGTACAAGGTATTTCGGTTAGATTAGATTGATTATAATCAAACATTACCGACACTGGCCATAGGAATACCTCGGACGTAATCGGACCATAATCCCATAACCCGTACACCGCCACCAGTCCATATTGCAACAGTGCCAGACCAGTTTCCACTCCCGCTCCCCGGCGATGCACTCCTGTATTTGCAAATACTGATTATGTTTACATGCATACATCCCATGCCCAGTGTCCAGTGTCCAAACAATGCTGCCAACTCAATTGTCCGCCCGGCGACAACGGGCCGTATGCGTAATGCCATATGAGCAATGCTCCAGATCCGTAATGAAAATTGGCGCCGTCTGCGGAACCGTTCAGTTGAGTTGAGCTGAGCTGCCAGGATAGAGGACTCCTGTCCTGGCTTGAGCAGACAAAATCAATTTGGTTTTGCGGTTTTCGGTCAGGACATATGAAGGTCCAGTGGCAGGATCCTTGTCTGCCGGCAGCAGCAATTTGCATTCCAGCCGGTGCAGGTTGCAAATGAAACTGATTCGGCGAACGAAACCGAATGGACCGGTGTGACCCAGCTGCATTTTAGTTTAAATGCATCAAAGTCAAAGCAAATTAGGGAGGGAGATGGGCACTCGCACCTCTCCGACATCCTACCCACAAACTCGAGTGGTATGGATGAGGCCTTCGAGTGGCCCATCGAAAGTTGCCAGTGTCAGCGCCAACGGCTGCCCGAATAAAAGTTATGTCCAAGGAGCAGAGTCAGCAAACCGAACTAGGAGCTCACTTTATGAGGGATTTAAGATAAATAAGAACCTATTTTTATGTATTTCTTGATATAAAATAAACCAAGAGTATACTCTTGTTGCTCTTTAATATAAAAACAAATATTAAATACACTTTTCCTTTTCGCTACCTCAGCTGAAGTCCCCTGAACGTGAGGGCATCCCCAAAAGAAATGTTTCAATGCCCTGAGAGAGCCGAACTATTATTTGCAGTTGTCAGCCAGGCAGCAGCCAGGCTGCCAGCTCCTCGGCGAATTTCTCGTGTTATTGAAAAACTTTTACCAACAGGCATGTCCTCTCTCTATCGTCCAACCGGCAATGCTTCAGATTTAAATGAAGTGAAGTGAATTTAATGGTCAGCAGACATTTGTGCCCGGGAGTGTCGGTGGGGTCCTTTGCCTTGCACCTCCTCCACTCAAGTGGAGTTTTCCGTATCTGGGCGATATTTGCATAGTATATGTTTCGAGAGCTCGTGTCTGTTTGCTGGAAACACACGCAGTGGCTCGTCGGTGTAACTATCAGCGCAAATGTACTTGAAAATTGTAATGAGCTCTAAGCCCGAGCGTCAACAGCAAACAGTTTCAGTTGCGACTCGTTCCATATGCTCCGATTAGAGACCCCGGATTTGTCGGGAGTTGGAATTGGAGTTGGAATCGGGGACAAGAAGCGCTCTGTTTGCAGTTACATTTTACGGGCTTACATGCAAGTAGTTCCAGTTCGATTGAGGGGGCTTTAAAGCTTTTCCGAAAATGACAAAAACCCTCTTGAATGTAAGGAAATGAATGGATTTCGAAATTCGGGAACGAAGTCTAGGATTTTTTTAAAACAAAATCAGCACTACTTTGACTGTTCTATGTGAGAAAATCGTTAAATAATAACAACAACTAGATATTTAAAAGTATTTTAATTAAATAATTCATAGGATGAACAAGGGCTCAGGTATGTGGACAAGATCACCACCCCAACATAGCCGAGCAGGAGGAGCAGCTGTACAATTGCGTGTGGGTCCTTAGTAACTTTTCCTTCTATTTGGCGGCCGAATGTCTTTAAACCTGAAGCGATAGCACCGAGCGACTCTCCAAGCAAAATGGCACTTCGTTTCTTTGTGTCGTATCCCAAGCCATTTTTCACACCTGTCTTCATATCTTTTAATCACTTCTGGTTTTAACGTATCGTTATAGGCTTTTCGGAGCCCATTAGGAATTATTTTTTCGGATTCAGTTATGTTCTTATATCCCAAATAGCAGTCAATGAAACACTTTACTTCGTTGCTTGCATCAAACTTGTGAAATTGTGACACAATAGCGGTGACCGTCGCATTCGTCTTATAAAGACAGCTTAATTGCATTTGCCTTTCAGACATCTTTGTCCAATCAAATCCATCCTCAACAATCTATGGAAAATTTAGAAATTATAAAACCATATTAATAATTCGAAACTACACATACCTCATCTCCGTCCTTCTTAACCGGATCTTCTTCATCAGATTCATATTTATCAATCTATGGAAAATTTAGAAGTTATAAAACCATATTAATAAAACGAAACCACACCTACTACGTCTTCATCAAACGAAGCTCCAAAGGGAATTAGAAATATCAGGAGTGTCCACGCTTTCATTGTTCTCTTCGATGTTTTTTCAGTGAAGTTGGAGTTGCTATTGCCTTTTTGTGACTTTTTAAAGGCTTTTTAGTTGAAGTTGTTAGGTAAAAATTTGATTCACATAATTTACAATTCAACGCCTAAATATACCAACCGATAAATGGTTCTGGTTGATTTTTGTAACAAATAGGGTTTATCAGTAACACAAACAGATTCATTATTGGACTGTATAATCCATAATATTTAAGGTAAAGTGAATACAAAGTACATATAAATGTAAACTGCCTAATATTTGTAATAATTTTTTTACACAAATTTATCCCACAGATAGATTGTTGGCTTGATACTCAATTTCCCTGCAACATTGTGCTCAAAATACTGTCTTTGCTCCTGCTGAAAATTGGCTAAAACCAAGCTGGCAGTAATGGATCCATGGAAGTGGCACTCATTAGCTGCTATAAAGCAAAATCATCGGCCCGGAGAGCTGCTTTGAAAAGTGCATTTGGACGTGGGGATGGCAGAGAGAAATGAAATCACGTCGCGCCACTGCAACAAATTCAAGTTAATTGAATTCCAAAGTAAGCATAATTCCAGCCGGCTCTAAAGGCGAGCACATACAACAGGAGGCACTACCAACAGCTCCTATATGGCCATATAGCCACGACATTCACTCTGCGACGGGAGCAAAGGGGTAGGCATTTAAACTAAATTTAGCCTGAAATTGCTTCCTTTTTGCTGTCGGTTGCTGGCCATTCTGCTGCTGCTGCTGTTGCCTGACGGTTGCCACTTTGCCGACAACACAAAATTCAATTACAATTGGCAGCAGCAAAAACGAAAACGAAAGTCGCGCTAAAACCCCACCAGAGCCAACGAACGATCGGGCAACTGAAACCGAAACTGGAGCCAAGACCCGGCCTGAAGTTGAAGCTGGGGCTGCAGTCCGGTTTCTTAATGCTTTCAGCACTTGCAATTATTTTATGCCGCCATCGTTTAAAGTGTCGGAAATTTGGTTCGGTAATTAAATGAAAATCAACAGCGACCAACGCCTGGACGCCGAAAAAAGGTGAGCTGAGAATAAGCAAAAACTGAAGAAGGAGAAATACTCTATGAGTAAGGTGATAATAAAATATGGTATACGAAATTCTATATCCTTAATATTATTATTTAAGATTGCAAATATTAAAAATCCTTAAGATCAGCTTAGAGATTTTAAATTGTTAATTACACTTGAGTAATAATACCAATCAATCAAACCATATATAGCTTATTTTCTCCACCCTATTAACTGAATTGTTAAGCCCCTTAAAAAGGCAGTGTAAAACTGGGCAAAAAACATTGTTTGTAACATGAAAAATATGAAAACTTGCGACGTCTAGCAGCTGCAGCCAAACTAGTTCAACTCGTTGTGGAGTCGCCTTTTCTGGCGTAATAACCCAGGAGGCCCCCCTCTGATATCACACAATAACTCGCTACCTCTCTACCGCTCTCTTCTCTGCACAGTAATCAAAATACTTGTGGCAATAAAAACAACACAAAAACTGATATCAAAGGGGAGAAACCATAACAAATCAAAGCACTAATGAATATTGAGAGGCCACTAAAAGGAACACGCGGCAGGAGCAACAAATTAATATCGAAGAAATACCAAAATTCACATAATAATAAATGCAGCTCATCGAGGAGTACAAGGAGCTCTAAGTAGCTCTAAGGAGCAACTTTTCCACCACGATAATGAAGTGGATGTGGGAGTTAGGCAGAGGAAGAAGAGAACACACCTGCCTAACAACCGAAGAAAGGTAATGGGAATCGGCCGAATGAAGGTAATAAAAATCGTATAAATAACCAAAGCTAAAGACAACAGTGGCAGAAGGACTTACAGGGTGCTTGAAATATTATACCGGGAAGGGGTGGGGTGGTTAAACTGCCCGGGAGGAGGGCGGAGTGGCTCGTTAATTTGCAATAAAATCCGATTATAACCACAAAAATGCGCCCATACAAGATATATACGCGGTGGTACTTATACTTAACCAACCCGAAACCCACACAGAACTCTTCGCCTCGCACAGGTGGAAATAAAAAGCCCGGAAGTCAAAGCCAACTTGTATCAATAAGTACAAAGTTTGGAGCAGGGGGCAGGCTTACATTGATATTAAAGCCCCGCTATAAATAAGACGCCCTCGAGGCAGGCAAAGCCAACAAATTATAGTCCCGCATCGGTGGTGGGTTGTTCTCCTCTACCCCAAAGCTCTTACTTTCTCCAGGTAACTTTACCCCTTGCCAGGAACCAGAACCCAGAACCCAAACCAAACCAGACCGAATGGAGATGCCATTCGAATTTGCATTGCTCGGCTGGAACTGCAGGAGAGTCCTTTCCGAGGGCATCAATTTTCCCGGCTGTCCTGGGACCCGTAGCCCTTCTTCTCCCAACGTTGTTTTCCCACAGGCATTTTTTATATTTTCTTGGGGGTGAAGACCTACCTAGGGGTGGCTTCCAGATGGGATCTGAATGCTTTTGGAGCAGGAACATAAGAAATTAATCTTGATGAAGAATCTCACTAGTTTTAGTTTGGTTTTTAAACTAATTTGATAATACTAATATCTTTATTAACACTTTAACTCCAAAAAACCAAGCTTTAATTCAGACATAATTCAAAAATAACTCATCCCCCTTTCCTGTGCTGCAATGGGCGGAAAAGTTATGTCTTCAGTCGGCCGGGAACTCCCCTTTTTCCAACCCACCGCAGAACAAATAAAAGTGTAAACACTGATTTGGCACGCGCCTTCCTTAGCCGAAAATTTATGCATAAAGAGAGCGATCCCGAACTCCCCCAAAAAACACCCAGAAAGCAACCCCAAACACGGTAATTACCTGAGAGTCCTTTCACGCACACCAGGACGTTAAAGCAGGAGTATCCTGTGGGCTCGTCCGCTGCACAAGTTGAAGGTGAGGCCAGCCCACTGGCGGCGCTGTCTGGCAAAGTTTTCCTTTATCATTATTATCGGGGCAACATGCATATGAATATGGTCCTGCCCCGGAGTCCTGTCTGACTTGCCTGTCTGTCTGTCTGCCTGTCTGGGCGGAGGTGTTATGGCCGGCTTCCTGGAGGACTTAACCGCCTTTGTAATGCATAATTTTGCGGGCCCTCAACCCCACCCTGGATATATATATGCATAAATAATTCCAGTTTGGGGTTTTCCATTTTTTTTGCTCTTGCCTTTTTTTTCGACAGGTTAGCATGCGGAAAAATTTGTCTGTTGGCTTATTTTAAGCAAATTATGTGTAATTATTCACAAATTAACGAGCCAACGCGAAAAGAAGGAAACATATTAATGTTTATTAAATGAACTGACGCTGGTGGTGGTGGTGTCAGTTTATTGACTCCGCTTAGATCGTTTTCGGCAACCCAGGAATTTATAATAATTTCATCGTTTCCACAAACAATTTTGCAACAATTTAGTTAATTTATAGGCAGGCCTGCGTTTGCCTCGGAGAAGAGGCCTTCGAAGAGCCGTTAAATGCACAAAGGACACGCAACCCAATCTCCACAGCAGCCTCTACATTTTATTCCCCTGCCCCGCCGAGTCCAATCCGGTCCCGTCCAGGTCGTCGACGGACGACGGCAATCAGACGATAAACTTATAAATGCTGCAGACGCCGCAGAAGCCCGGGCAGCCATACATATAGTAATTATGGCCATGGGCAATATTTGCCAGCCAGGGTTCTGAGGGTTCCCCCTCCGAAAAACCAGAAAGTTTAAGCTCAGTTTGTCGCTGCCAAAGGACAACTACTAAGGCCCTTGATGAAGAAGTGAGCAGAAAGGGTTCAAAATGGAACTGGGACTGGGACATGGTGAAACCGTTTATTAACTCAGACAATGAGCAGTTCTTTTCTTGGCAAAACGAATCCACAAATTAACGGAAGCTAAATCAAGTTAGGAATGTTTCTGCGAGGAATTTGGTTATAAGAACTGCGAACTCTATTAAGGCAAGAGGAAATTGTGGGTCTTAGGAGAGAGAATTCAAGCAGTTTTTCTTTAGAAACATCAATAAATCCTTGAAGAGTAAAGAATTCTTACTGATTTTTGAACTTGTTCTATATTTTTCTGCTCTCGCTTTTCATCTTAAATCCTTAGCTCACTTTTTGATCATTGAAAAATGTTTTGTTTGCCAAACGCACTGATTGCCAAATTATTTATGACCTTTCCACTTAAAATAATTTGCATATTAATCTTGGGGCCTGTATTAAATCACCATTTAATTGCCCGCAACGAAGATTTAGCAATTTTGTGGGGCCTTCCAACAACATTTCGTCAGGGAGTTCGATCCGGCCATATATCATCATCATCGAAGCCGCAAGTGACGAACGGTGGACGACGAACTGCTCTGGGACCGTGGACTTTGTGCGGTCGGCGGAATGGAAATGAATTATGAAATATTTGCAGAGGCCACTAATGAGCCGCGCCGAGTAAAAGTAGCTGTCACATTAGCACCTTGCGCGATGTAGACCCAAGATAAGCTAATGACAGGTCAGGCCAGGTCGAGATGACCCCCGTGGAGGAGTTTCAAGGGGTCCAAGGGGGTCCAGGGTGGGCAACCTGCCCCGGGGGGCGGACCCAGCACACTTTTATTTTTCACAAATGGCATAAAAAACATTGACAGGTACCGGGGAAATGATGTGATAAAAAGAATGCGTATATATGTATGTATATATGCGTGCGATTTTCCTGGCAAAAAGGTCAAAAGTGCCCGGGGACATCATAAACGAAGGTTCCTTCTCGGCCAAGACGGCAAAACAATAACTGCAGGCAATTTGGCCGCTCGCAACTGTTTATTTGTCAAACATTTTTCTCTTTTTGACATCTCGACTTCCAGCGGCGACTTAGACTCGGACGGACGGTGTGTCTTGGTTCATGGCGTCTTGTGAGGGTACGAAACACGCGCCGCCTTTGCCCGGGAATCGAACCCGAAGTCAAAGCCGTCAGTTTGGGCCGTGGTCCTGGGCGACAAGTTGGGATTCCCTTTTTGGCCAGAGATGTCCGAAAATTGTTATCGATGTTTTTGTCATGTTTGCCTCAAATTAAAATCCCCAATAAACGAATAAACGGGGGAAAACTGTCAGTCGGTTCGGGCTCACTGATATATTATTGTCCTTTGCCAACTCCTGGCGCTGCATGCTAAGCAGGAATCGTATCCGGTCGGTGTCCTGCGGCCGCTTTTTAATTGGCTCTCGTGTTGTTGGCCTGGAAAATTGAAGATCAAACGTAAGCCCGGCCGAAATCCAAGGGACAGCCATTCAAGATGATGGCCCTTTGAGTTGGGAGTAGTAAATGTAGATGGAATGTCAGCTTGAATCCTGGCAATGATTAAGACTAGTTATAAGTTCACATGCTTAGTGGAAGCCCAAAAGGTTTTGCATGATGTATCTTCTATAGTAATGGGAAAGTTTCCTCTTCATTTGATTGTTTTTAAAATAAACAGAACCCCTTTCTTTTGGAAAAATATAATTAATAATGATTTAAATACATTTTTATACCAATTTTAAGGCTTCCCTTTCTGATAATGCCAAATCCAGATGATCAAAAGTTATGACTTCCGCCCTTTATCGATGATTTTGCCATGAAAGCCATCATTTAATTAAAATCCCACACAAAGAAAGTTCCTCGTTTCATTACGACTTTATTTTTATTTTGTGTTAATTTGTTTTGTTTCTTTTCCAGCATGAAAACAAACGATAATCCCCCCCTGCAACTCGCCGAATGATTCATCACGCTCGCTTGGCCAAAGCCCAGATACGGCCACCAATTTGATTATGGCCATAAGTAGACAAGAAGGAAACTTTGGTGACTCCAACTCCGCAAAAAGGACAATCTCGACGGAGACTCCAAAGAAAAAAAATAAATAAATTGCCTTTCAGATTGCAGCTTCATTTACCAATTTCACTGACTCTATCTGCTAATCGAGCGCAAAATAAGCAAAAACAAACGGCGAGAATGGCAAAGGGCATATCGGGTTGCCAAGAGCTTTTCCTTCTTTTCCCTAAACTTGGGACGTTAATTATATGAGCCAAGTTCTGTGTCGTCTACGCACTTGTAACAGAATCGGGCGGCGATGCACATTAATTAGTTTTTATGATTATTGGCGGGCATTGAAATACAATACGCGGCGAAATGGGGGAAAATTTGGTATAGGAAAGCCAGGGTGGGGAATTTACATAAGTCAAGCCGAGACGGCGGCAATATGTGGAGGATGTTGGTTGAATTTGTCAATTTCTAATGCCGGTTTATCGCACGAGGCTTATTTACGAGTTGGACTGTGACGGAGATGACATACACTCAGAGGAAAGAGAGCTGACAGGAGAACTAAAAACACAATTTTATAAGAAATTGTATAAAGTAAATGTATATCTAGTCTTAAGAATGAATTATTTATGTTTATGTACTTTATTAGAATTTTTATCTTGGCTAATCCTTATTATAGACTTACAGAGTATTATAACTTTAGGAGCTTGCAAAAGGGTGAAGAATCAATTCGAATTTCTACTTTTAGAAAGCTCGGTTTTTGACTTATTTTCATTATTTTTTTTCTCGCAGTGCTGTAGGCCTCTGGCGACAGTTGGCAGTTTCTCACACAAAACCCGCTGCCGGGGGAATGGGAGGATTCGACTCCTCTTCAGAGATCCATAAATATGCAGGAGCTTGGTTGTTTCGCCGGCAAATCCATTTGGCTAAATAAATGCCAGGACTGACATAAATAAAAGACAATTAAATTAAGATAATCGTTCTGACTTTGTTGGCTCTGTTTTGCTTGATGCCAAAATGAATTGTGCGTCCTCCACCCGGGCTTTTCCCGATAGTTGTTGCCCTCGCATAAACATAAAATCCGCCCGGCGGCAGCCTTAGCTTTAAATGCGATGCCACGAATTAATGGCAATCTTCCAGTTGGGTCTCCTCCGGAAAATCCCGCTTCATCCACGCTTAAGCCCCACTCTGCGACAATTGCCATGCACTTTGATTTGGCCCTGATTTTTGCTTAATTGCTCTGGCAACTCGCTCGTCGCTGTTTATTGCCTCGCAGTGGGATGTGATAGAAAATTAAGCGAAATTCGAGAATAAAATTTAGACTGCCAACCGCAGGGACAACAAAAAAAACACTCTAAAGAACCAACATAAAATCTAATTACGTCAGGCATGAGATTAATGTTTAGCTTCCGCTGCGATAAAATTTGATTTACACTCTGTTTCATGAGGGTTGAAGGAATTAGCCTAAGAACAACAAGAACTAATTAGTTTTAGTCATTTAAGGTTATACTATTTACCTAATATGAAATTTTCTTTTTAAAGAAAACTAAAAATATTTTCTCACCTTTAAATCCAAGCTAAAGTGTTACAATAAAAACCACATCAACATCATCATTCCCATTTCCAAAGTGAAACGTTATCACTTTCAGGTTTCTCGAAGGCCGCTGCGATTGGAAAGTGAAAAATATTCAAATAATTTTCACTTTATTTATGGGAAAACAAAACATCAACCTGCATATAAATTTCTTTGGTGGGACGGGGGAAAAATCTCAATCCGCATTAGGCTCACACAAAATGAAAACATAATTCAGCCAATGGATTTGCATAAAACATGGCGTTGCAGTCACATAAATATTCCCCTAACCCGCCGGAGCCGAGAAAAGATAACTCAATAATTTATTTGCTTAACAAATGTAGATACAACGGCTGTTTATGTTCGAGGTAATTAATAAACGCCGTGTTTTTGTCGCAATCGGTTTGAATTTGGTTGAATTTTAGCAGCAACTGCACTTCACTCTGGCCCCAAAGCCAAGAAGGTGACATTTGCCAGATCATGATTTGGCAATCCATGTGTGTGTGTGTGTGTTTCTGGGTGCAACACCTTGGGGTTCTCGAATCTGGGTGCTGAACTTTCGAATCTGACGTGCCGCAGTGCCACCAAAATGTCCGACACCTAAACGATCTACAATAGAATAAATACTTGAACAAATAAAAGCAGTGGAAAAAATAAAAGAAATATATTTTATAGTGGAATCTCACTTAAAAACTTTAATAATAATTTACTAAATTGGGTTAGGTTTAACAGTGTTTTTAGAATTATAAAATCTATATAGACTTTAAGCAATATATAAACTACTTTAGATTACCAATTGTAACCATATCTGTTTCCACAGTAAAGTTCTTTATTAATATTTAATTTATTATGAATGTAAGGAGTTCAGAAAGTAGAACTTGAAGAACAGTTTTTCTTTTAAGGTTTGGTTTTTTTCTTATATTTTTTCAATTTTAAATAAATAACAAATATTTTCTCCATGTACCAGTCTCCGGGAGACCAACCATGTGTGTTTGGGTCACCAGTTCTGCATATGATTTCGTTGGGGGCAACTGGTTTGGCTTGGATTTGGGGTTTCTTTTTTGGGGAACCGTGCAGCCGCAGTCGCAGTCGCAGTCATAGTCGTCGGTTATCTACATAATTAATGCATGTCTCGGGCCACACGAAAGCATGCAAACAACTGGCATATTGACCCAATATCTAGGCAAAGGGCTTGACATTTGTGGAAGCCCGAACTGAAAAAGAAAAAAGCCAAACACACAAAACGATGAACGGGCTAAAGGCGGACTAAAAGCCAGGCAACAACATCGCGTGCCAAAAAGCCACAGAGCTTTATTCGAATATTTATGCCTCTGCAAGTCAGGCAAATAATTAAAACGAAGCAGTGCCGCAGCGGAGGGGAGGGGAGGGAAAGCAGAGGAAAAGCCCAAATAATTATGAACGGAGACCTGGGAATGACACAAAATGCGGAGAGACAGAAAATACTTTCGGCTTTGGGCCGTGATTGATGATGGGTCGTGCGGATTCGAACAGAAATATATTTGTTTTAAATTTGTTATTCATTTATGTCGGGGCCAGTTGGTTCCTACGGTTTGGGGAAAATGCTTCGTGGACTGCACCTATCGGGTTTCATCAGCGGATTTTGGCCTGAAGCAGCGCGCTCCTCAGGCCTTCCTTCTTCGATCACGAGCAGCCAGGCGGAGGAATTATGGCAGCCGGAGGAGTCCACACTTAAGACTCGGCCAGGAATCAGCATGGAATCATAAATAAAGTGGTTTATTGTGCTCAGGAATTTATGGCACATCCCGAAGAACACAATTGATAATTGCTGTCGTCTGCTTTTCTTCTCGTTTCTTCGACCAGCCGTAGAGAGAGAGAGAGCAATTAAAACGGTCCCAGCTTCATTTTCTATTTTCCAGAATGCCGTTTTTTACAAGTCTTTTATGCTTTGATTACGATTTCGGCGCCTCACCCGGAGTGCTCCATAAAAACAAAAAATAAACCATATTCCGAAGGGTATACTTCGGTCCAGTCTGAAAGACTCAATTCCAATTCGAATTCAATTTTTCAACAGACTTGCTGGGTGACACCTCAATAAAATCAGAAATGCAGCGGGGAGGCTGCGAGTCCGAGTCCAAAGCCATCCTAACTCATCTCCCAGTGAAGCCAAATGGCGCCGTGTGTCCAAGTCCAAGATGGGCATGCATAAGTTAGGATTGGGGGATTGGACAACAAACACGACCAAATTGAAACAACAAAAATTGACCCCCCGTGGTAGAAAAATTAAAATTTTATTTGTTTAGCAGGCGGCGTGACAGCAACACACAAACGGCGACAGGTTCACCGCGACCCCGACAAATATTAATCAAATTCGTAATACAAACAGCACGACAAACAATATAACACTTTCGAAAAATCCCTGAGCGCAAATCCAATTAATAAAATCAACATTGCCGTCGCTGTATCCGTACCTGGTATCCCCCCTGTATCTGTTTCTGTATCTGCATCTGTATCTGTATCTATTTCAGCTGTTCTCCGCCGGGGCTCTCGTCTCGTTCTCAGCGATTTAAATATCACAAGTGGAAATCAGTGGCCCACGCTGAGCCCAGAACTCGCAGTTGAATACGAATTTGGACCATTAATTCATTAAATTATGCTTTATATGTTGCCGGTTATTAAACAGTGACGATTTGAATGGAATTTATTTGTGCAGAGTTTCGGGGTTTTTTCTTACATTTTGTTTTTGCTGGTTTAGAGAAACAAATATATATATAATTAATATGGACGATTGGAGTTCAAAATTAATGAAAGCATTTACCCATTGATATGATAGATACTTCTCCATAAAACAAAATAGATTTACTAATAGTAATTCCCCCGCTAATGAAGAGTGTTTATTAGCCATGTTTATCACAAAAGGCATTCCGCTTAATATGATTGGCTATTTACCTTTTTTAGCTTACTACCAAATTCGCCTTTAATTGTTATCGCTAATTTTTATAGATTGTCGAATTATTTAAATCATTAAGCCAAGGCAATTTTTTAGTGTCACAAGCGAAATTAACAAAATTGAGCCCCGGTATTTGATTAATTAAAGGAAGAGAGGCACCACACTCACGCACATATGGCTCAGACAGGCGGCTCACACAAATAAACACACACACCTGAGCTCCGAAGTTCGTTCAGAGTCGAGTTTGTTGGGCAAAGTTGAGCGTTGCGGGTTAATTACCATGTCAAATTCAAACAAAAACAACAAAAGCCAAGTACGCCAGCGAAAGGAGGTAGTTTATCATTATAACAACAGAACAGAGCACGGGGAACGGTAGTCAACGAAAATAATAGGCTGGCAAAAGGTTCGAATGGATGCGGATGGGGATGGAGTTGGCCAAAGTAAAACCTTTTCTTATCATAATTACGCACAAAACGCAGGGACAGGTAGTCAGCGCGGCGGGCCTAGGTTCGGCATTTAATTGAGCAGTGCGTGGGTGAAAAACAGAGGGGGAAATGGGGAAAACAAAAGAGAAAAATAAGGGAAAACACAGAGAAAAAATATCATAAGTTCTGGGTTATCTTATT